TTTTCCGTGAACAGGAAGTAACCTCTTTTCCGTGAACAGGAAGTAACTTTCTTTCGTCCCGCTGGTCAGAGACTCAACAGGAAAGTATCTCATATTCAGGCCGATATGATATATTTAAAAAGTTGAGAACTATCAAGAAAATAAAAACAGATTCTAGATATTTCACCCAACATTTAACCCTTTTGTCTGATTTTTTAAAACTTAAAATAAAATTACTTCATAACTCAATAATAGACCAAAAATGTAAGGAATCTGAATATTCATGTGAATCAAAGATGAATATATTGACGGATATATTTTGTAGAAACATACTGATTTTCCACAATAAATACCTTGACTTCCTCCTCGTACTGGAACCTTCGTTTGCTGACGATGACGTCCTCGATTCCCCTCCGGTCTCCGAACTTCTTCTCGAACATGGTGTAGAACTTGAAGAGCTCCTGTGCCTGGTGCTTAGGGATCCGGTCCAGAGCGTACTTGTAGATGACCCGAACACGTTCAAACTGAAAAGGGACAAAGATAAACAGTTTTAATATTCCAGCAAAACAAGAAAGCAAAGGAGTGAGGCTCTGATATGAATTAATTAGGTGGGTTTAGTTCATCACAAACCTCTTTCTGCGTCTCCTCAAACTTGGCGAAGGCCACAAAGAGGTTTTCGTCCACATAGTCCTCTCCGAAGAACTCCACCGACCTCTCGTACACCTTCCTGCTGTGAGCGATGTAGCCATGCTTCTCTTCAAAACGAGCGTACTTGATCCAGTTCTTCACTTCGGGGTGAACGATGACGAGTACAGCGGAGTTAAGGTTTGATTACTCGACAAACAAATATCTTTTTATTAGCAAGTTTTTAAAGCAAAAAACATCAAATATTCTCTGGTTCCAGTTTCTCTAATGTGAGGATTTACTGACTTTGTTGTCATCACTTCACACCCACAAAAAAAGGATATATCGCTCATAGATGGTGCGGCCTTTGTCCACTTCCTTGTAGCGCAGCTCAAAGTTGATGTAGGAGTGCCAGGCCTGCTCATCGGGCTCCCACTCCATCCAGCGCTCGAACGCCTGCCTGCAGCCGGCCACGTTCCCCAGCATCTCCTCCATGTAGGTGTACTTGTACCTTTTACCGCACACAAAGTCAAACGTGAATAAATAATTCCACACTTTAACGTTAACCATCAGAGTGTAAATAGAGTTTTACTGACTCAGTAGAATTATGAGCTGTTTAACTTCATGACACGCGCTGTAAATGTGAAATGAAGCACAAACTGTTTCCTTCGTACCAGAACTGGTTGACTCGAGGGAGGATGGTGATGGCTCGGTCCCAGATGTTGCGGGCGTGGTTGACCTGCCGGCTCTTCATCTCCATCTCGGCGTACTTCAGCCACAGCGTGATGTTGCGGTGATCGACGTCCAGCGCTCGCTCGTAAATGGAACGAGCCCTAAAAAAACCAGAGGAAGCAGCGATGAGGGAAAACTTTACGGCAGAGACGTGTGTGGGAATGTTATGAGGAAATCATTTCCTGGCTGACTACCTGTGGATCTCCTTCAGGCTTTCCTCCCATTGTGCGTATTTGATCCAGTTACTGATGACAGTCCGATTCTTTCTGATGTTGTCTTCAAACCCCTGAAAGAAAAGGTAGAAAACAGTTTGACAGAAAGTTAGAATACAAGTATAATCACGTGACACAAGGGCGGCACTTTTAAGCTAAGTTTTTTTTATCTAAATCGCAAAATTGCCAACTGAAATTTTCGATCCACAGGAGACAAAATGTTTGTTATATATGCTGCATTTAACAAGTAAATTATGCTAAAACATCCAATATGAATAAAGAATCTCGACTGTTTTAGTCAGATTTGACACTTTTACTTTCTTCACTTACTCGCTGCACGTTTAAATCTAAACATTTCCGTCAGTGGAGGAAATGAGAGGCAGCCACTCACCTTCCTCTTCTTGAGTTTGTAATCGTTGAGCTCCTCCTCGTCGGTGATCTTCTGTTTCGGTGGCGGCGGCAGAAGTTCGAGCTCCCTCTCTTTGGCTTCTCTCAGCAGCTGCTCAGCAGTGATCTGAACCTCTGCGGGAGCTTTATTCTTCACCTGCAACACAACAACAATAAGAAGTCCTTTAACATGAGTTCTTCATGTCTTAATGCTGACTATCCATCACTTGTGAAACCGTCTGATTTCTTTAGCCCGTAATATAAAGATCTCACTTATTAAGTTGATTGTTTGAGTCAACACAAGAACAGGAATTTAACAGAAATGTTAAAACTGGGAATATTTCAGAGGCAACTGTGAGTAAAACATGGCTATGTGTGTTTTAGTAGTATTATACACGTATGTGAAGAATGTAGGTGTACTTAATATGACCGTGCCAACTGATTATATGTGTATATGAATGTTTATTATATAATATACATAGTAAAGGGAACCTGCATACATGTATAGAACATTTCTATGACTGTACACAGCTACATTCAGGTTCAACCCTGATAACTCAAAGAAACAGGTCGGTCTGGTTACAATACAGGTGAGACTGAAGACTAATTAATTTGGTTATTTTAGTTCTCATTATAAGAGGATTTCAGGGCAACATGTTTCGTAAAATATACATATTTCTTTAGTTTGGATGACTTTGCAAGACTTGAGCTGTGAGGAGCTCAGGATTCTTTTGTAGCAGAATGAATTAGTTCTTTGGAGGAGACAGAGCACTCCGTCTGTATTGTGATGTTAAATGTTCAATCTTTGTTTCCACAGGTATATAAGGGGGCTTATAGAGCGATGTGGACTTGACACTCGTATACACATGAGTCCTCCACTTCCTACTACTAGATGTACACTGAACAAAAATATAAACGCATCACTTCTGTTTTTACTTTGCACGCAAAAAAGCGCATTTCTCTCAAACTGTGTTCACTAATTTGTTAAAATCCTTTGGTAAGACAGTCCATCCACCTGTCATGTGTGGCACATCAATATGCTGATTGAACAGCATGATTATTACACAGGTGTGCTTTGGGCTGGTCACAATAAGAGGTCACTGTAGAAGTGTGCAAACAATATCAAATATTTCACTTCAACTTATGATCAGTGGGTGCAAAAACAAAGGTGTTGAGTTTATATTTTTGTTTAGTGCAGCCAACTCAGCGTACCATCTTTTAAGTGTTTATGAATATTATAAATATGTTTGTGTGAGACTTGATTAGATAACTTTTGAGAGGAGATAATACACTTTGTGATTAATGTGTAAATTCAAGTTGTTATGTACACTTGCTTGGATACATAAGGTGCTTTATAAATCCATGTGGACTTAGCATGTGTTTGTGCATGAAATAAGCTAGCATCACTTCTCCTCATGGGGTTATATGTAGTGTGACAGCATTATGTATGCATGTATTATGTCTAAAACATACAATAATAATGATTATGTATTATGCATGTGTGTCAGCCAATTCAGCTTACCTTGTTTTACATATTCATAAAATATTGTGTTTGTGTGGGCTTCAGAAAGAGTGGCGAGCATTTAGAAACATGTTTAAAATGAGTTTCCAGAGACGTGAAAAGCCTAATAATGTAGACAACAGGAAGCACTGACTTGATAACGTATCAGAGCGTAAACACAGTAAAACCCAAACAAAGTGCAGCACGTTGGACAAATATAACCAATACAAACCCTCAGTTAGCTTACAAAAGGAAAGGAAGCTAACGTTAGCGGTTGTCGAGCTCGTGCGGTTTCCGTCAGACCGACGTCACCACTCCAATAACAATAATTTTAATGTATATTCTTATGTGATATTACAGATTTAAGCGATCTACACGTGGTCAAAAGCAAACATGCGTAACCTTCTTTAAACTTTAGCGCTAGCTGTCTGTTAGCATGTAGCTTAGCCGAAGTAAAAAGAGCTCATGGATTTTGTACGGGAGCTTTTATTTCTTTTTCTTTTTCTTACCTTCGCCACCTTCGGTATCCGCTGTTTACCTGCCGCGGTGGAAGCCATGTTTGCAAAAACGTACGTTCACAAACTTACCTAAGAAACGTTAGGACAACAACAACACAACTAGAAACACACGACGAAACGTTTTCAAGCGCCAGCCGCCATGACAGTACCCAGCATGCATTGCGAAGTCTTATTCCGTTACTGTGGTTACGGAGTTTGTTTGAGCTAGTTAGCAGTTAGCTAAAGGCTGCTGCAGTTATCCGTGTTAACTTACAGGTGTTTGTTTTGTTTTAATGGGGCTAAAAACGCTACGTATCATTTAGTTTTTTTTAATAATTCTCACCACGAGAAATATAACCACGAGTATCACCACGAGTTAATATAAAAAATAAGACTGACGTCATAGTTTAGGTGTAACTTGTGACAGGTGAGTAACAAATGTTAAACCAACACGTGACGAGGTTGTTGTTGTTGTTGTTGTTGTGGTGGAATGTAACTATATATATGTATATAATACATATATATAGAGTTTGTTAAAGGTGTAACTTGTGAAGGTGAGTAACTCTGTATTGCATTATATATATATATATATATATATATATATATATATATATATATATATATATATATATATATATATATATACAGTGTGGTATTAGTGCTTCTACTAAAGATCTGAATACTTCTTCCACCACTGCTGTCGTGACAGAAATAGTTAAATAATAATACAACGTTCTGTTAACATGAGCCCAGGTGAAGATGAGGACCATAACTTCAGCCAGGGGCCACGAGGAAACTGTGACCGTCAGAAGGAGCGAGTCGGCGGATGCTCAGGGGATCGACGGCCTCATCGGCGCCTCGGCTCTGGCGGTTTTTGGACGGGTCAATATAATTCATCTTCTGTAAGACGAAACATTCCTTTGTTTAGTGTCTTAAGTGTAGAGAGTTTATAGAATATAGGCTTTCTGTATGGACGTACACGAGGGCTTTGATCATTTCATCTGACCATGAAGTCTATGGACAACATACCATAACGATGGAAGTTTATTTGTTTTTGTACATTTAGTACATGTCATAGTTACATTAATTGGAGTGGGTTGTCATTCATACTGTAGCCTACATATCAGAGTTATCCATTCATAGTCCATATTGGCTTATTATTTATTCTGTTTGTACAGAATTTCACCGTATCACACGTTATATTTATGTGTTTACAGCATGTGCACGTTTCTACTTTTTCCAATCTCCATTTTGTTATAGTGGTACTTACAGTGTCTATAAAGTTGACTCCAATGGAATCTCCTTACTCTATACATTTTTATGATATTTATAATGAAATAAACTTCTAAAACCATTCCTGCAAAGTACTCCACTCCTCCACTCTCCATCTGGATCCTTAGTTCATTGCAAACACTCATGAAAGAAATGTATTTAATCATATTTTGGCAAAATGAAGATAGGAACATATGAGCGTACAGGTGGATTATTATGATCCAGAAGTAGTTTGAGAGGTCTTGATGGACTTTTGTGAAATCTCGTCTTGAGAGTAATCATAGTACTGATTACCTACTTGTAGTACATTTTACAGTAAGTGTTGTTATCTCCTCTGGACATGATTGTCTGGTTCCTGTTTGCTCTCCAGAGAGAAAGCCAATCTGGCCGTGACTCTGGCCAATGAGAAGGATGACATTCTGGGCCACGCTTCCTTCTTCGATCACCCCATCGGACACGTGGTGGATCAGACTCAATGGGAACCTTTCCTGCACAAACACTTCAGCGCTGAAACATGCACAGTCGGTATCATTCATGAATTCAGATGATAAGAGTTGCTGATGCAGAGTTGTTCTTATGATTAATACTGTTTATGTGTGCTATTAGTTTTTGATTGGTATCTTTGGCCTCAACAGAAGCAATCTGATACGCTCACACTAAGACTTCTACAATAGTTGGAGTTTGAAGTAAAGCTACTTTTTTTAGATCAAGTGAAATGAAAGTAAACTGGAGCAAACTAAAGCTAAATCTTCTTCCCTCTGCAGCCGTTGAACACACTCTTCCTCCACATCTTCGTGGCACAGCTGGATTTTGCCGCAGCAAGTGTAAAGGAAATAATGAGGTATGAAAAAATAAGGGTATATGTCCCTTTTTTGTTTTGTAGTATTTTTATCTGGAATATGTACTTTCCAAATATAAATTGTGTCTGTTCTGGTGTAATTCATGTCAATATAGTTGACTTCTTGTGTGGTGAAGCGCTAATAGACAGCTGGACTGTAAAGTTATGAACGTGACACAGTCATGTTTGCATATTTAAAACAGCAGCAACTCTAAGGAGCTTTGGTTATAGTCAACCACAGAATGCAGATTCATAAAGGTTGATGCAACTTCTGCCACATTTGAATTCCCTCGCTGCTGCTTCTTTGTACAGGGCCGTCTTTAACGCCATCGCAGAGCTTGAAAACATCTGCCTGGTCAGCCCGTACGTCGGACGTTTAGGTGAGGAGCTGCTTAATATCAGTTGTTAGGATTATTTAATTCTTCACACATTAACTTCCAAGTCTTGTGTTGCCTGCTGAACCACAGAGCCAGCGCTTGGTGAGGTGTTTGAGCCGCTGCAGCGTCTGACGGACCGCGGGCCTCGCTGCTTAGCATTCATCTGCCACAGACCAGAGCACTGTCCAAAGCTCCACGCCCGCCCGGCCAGGTGACGTCAGCTGACTCCTCCCCACTAACACTAGTGTTCATATACATGTCCACCACCTTGACCTCCACACCCCTTTCCCTGCACTATGTATGAATGTGCACTATATGTACGTGGACATTTTCCCTTAGCACGTCACGAGCATAGACTGTTCATAAGAAGTGGACGTAGTCATCATGACGTCACTCATTGGTTTGTGGACTGCGGTTTTGAAGCGTTGAGTTTGACATTTTGACCGTCACCATCTTGGTTTTTTGGAACGGAAGTGACGTAGAGACGCAGAAACTATGATCTAAAAGAGGCTTAACGGGTTTGAGGAGGAGCTCAGTTAGTCTTAATTATTAGTGGGTTGTCATGTTTCAGTGTAAGATACATGTTATTGATTGGCGGTGCTCTAAGATGTGGGCCACTCCTCTTTTTTTCCACAGGGTTGAAGATCACGATAACATCATGCGCATATTTGCAGAGCAGGCGAAACTTCTGTCAGTCATCGACCGGCCGTACTTCCTGGCGGAGCTCGTCGAGGCGCAGAACGAGAAGAATCACGTCGCAGTTTGTGAGGTTTGTTCCAACTTTTAGCCTTTTTCTTGAGAGACCATTTACTGTGGTTCAACGCTCTGATATTTTGTGAGTTATGTGGTTTCTGAACCATCATCTAAAAGCAGCTCGCTGATGATGCTTTTGGCTGATTGTCAGAAATCCCCCCCTCTCCCAGGGACCATGGGAGGCGACAGATCTCCCCTCATCTCCCCTCCAGTCGGGCTGACATGTGTTCATGGCAGCATATGGCAGATACGAGCTGATACTTGGCCAAGACATGCTCTCACTGAACATATTGTGTCCAGACATCTGAAGCATTTTGGGGCTTTCTGTCTGAATATGTTCAGCGCTCAGAGAACAGACAAAACATCGCCCCAGAGGGTTACTGCAGCGTGAACGCCGCAACCTTCTTGTGAAGCTACAGAATATGTCATTTAAATATTTCTTGTCCTGGTAGATGATCTGTTACAGACACAACATGGTCCAAACTCAGATGCTGTGAGGCCTTCTTTTCTTTGTCAGTACTACCAAGTTCTTCTGCTGTTTATTGTGAATCATCTCAGGAGAAAGCAGCTCCCTGAACATTAATACAACTCCTCCATTAACTGTCTTATTGACTTGTATTGCAGTAAGAGGGAAACGTGAACGTGACTGTCTGTGAAGATGTCGGCGTGTTTGCTCCACAGAGTGACGGCGTCACCGTCGGCTTCATCAGTTTCACGTCTGACGTCGATGTGAAACTGCTGAACGGCAACTTTGAGTTGAGTGAGTTCGATGGTTTGTACAAACGCGCCGAACCTGCAGCTCAGTCCGACTCGAGGGAAAGCCAGACCTCCGATCCACAGCAGGTACAACTCACTCACTCATACTACAGCTGTTATTCAGGGTAAAGAAAGACACGGTTAAATATAGTAGTTGTAGTAAAGACATGGTTATGATATAAGTGTTTGTGTAGCAGTACATCTGTCATGAATTGTATAATCTTCAGTCTTTATCTTCTACTTTGTGGTATGTTTGTTGTTGTTGTCACTTCAGGAGGAAACACAGAAATCCAACGCTGTCTGCATTCAGTACTTCATCATTGACAAGAATTATGAAACGAGGTAAAGTCAGGATGAGGTCTGAGGGAGAGTAAGTAGTCTTCCTCTGAGCTCCACAGAGCTCCATTAAAACACACCAATGAGCCCCCATGTTGCTCCTTCATCACCAGGAACACACCGTAGTTTATTCTGACTCGTTCACACATACAAATACTCACTGGAGCACCTAATGTGGATCAATCCGCCGCTGAAAATAGTCCCCAACAAATGCACTATATAGTGATAAAAACTACAGCGACCAGCTGTTTTATGAGATTACAGAGACTTTATTATATATTTGAGAGATGTTTTCACGTCTTCAATAGAACCAATGGGAGCTAAGAGCGACGGACAGGAAGTCAGAAAGTACTGAGAGACGAACTAACATGTTGTTGGTTTTGGTCTTTTCTTGGGATTCGTTGGCTGTGAGAAAAATAAAGAATAATGGCTAACTTATCCTTTAATAAATATTTATATATTTATATATATAAGTCTTGAGCTCAAGAAAGTTAGAGGACACATTTTTGGAAATTACACAAAAAACAAACAACAAACCAAAAAAAAATGTATAATACATTTTTTAACATGTGACATGACGTGTAAGCCGAGGAAAGTACACATTGAAACAAAATACTGCAATATGTTGGAACAAATAGCTACTTTGTCGTGTTTAAAGAACACAAGAAATACAACATAAAGGTGAAAGAAGATGAAGAAAAACGTGAAAGGGGAACATGCAATTAAACTCTTTAGAATACTTTTACAGAACTACATTACTTTAATTCACGGACACCAAAAGTCAGATACTAAAGGTCTGTATAAATAATAAACATATTATAAAGAAGTATTTTTGTACTTTGTATATTCTCCCTCTGTAATAGATTTCAGAGGCGGTGCTGGTGGCATCCGTCCAGAGCTCCATCAGTCATGTGCTGCGTTAAAGCAGAGAGAGCGACTGTTAGTTGGCTCCTGCTGAGCTCCTCTCACCTCCCAGCTGTTACTAAATATGGAGGCTGGTCGCTTCCTGCAGAGAGTGAGCATATTATTAATGAGAGCCGCGCTTAAAGTGACAGCGTGACAGAGCTGAAGGCGAGAAGTTGAGGCGGAAGCCTGCGGGCAGATCGGTCGGGCAGTTGTTCCACCGCGGTGATTCAGCCAGCTCTGGCTTTGTTTCTGAAGGTTGGCATCCACACATATTTTCACTTAACACTCTTCTTGTTCTTCTTTTCTTCCAGATCAGTGGACTTTATTCCATATATATTCAACCTCTTCCCTGTGAGTATCGTCTTTGCACGACATTTAGCTGACGTTCTGTACCAGAAAATAAGTGTTTAATGAGCTCTACGAACAGTAAATAAGTTAAAGATCACTGCATCTGTGCAAGAGGTAAAATGAAAATAAGACACCCTGCAATCATAATATGTGCACGAAGTCCCATCGTGTAAGTTTAAATAACTGGATTCCTTTACACAGACGGGCTTTTAAGATGCTTGAGAATTCTTCAGAAATCAACCTTTTTTAATGGAACATGTCTGCTCAGTGAAGAGTGTGCGTCTGTATCAGTTGTCCTCGTGTCCGTCTGTCAGGACCTGGACTTGTGCATCATCTCTGTACCGTTACCGTCCTCTGAGATCCCGTTGCTGCAGAGCTTCCTCAGACTGCCGCCTCGCGCCTCCAGCTCGCTGCCCCGTGAGCTCTACGTCCTCCACCGCGACGGGCTCAGGTAGACCGACCCGTAAAAGAAGCTTTTCTTTGCTTCCTACAAGTCTCTGTACGGCTGCCAGCATAGCAGGTTTACAACTTTGAACTGTGCTCAGGGAGGAGGTAGCTTCACATTTGTGGCTCCAGCTGTGAATTCAAGTTGTACATTCAAAACCACAAGTCACTCACATTCACTTTTGCTGCAAGACAAAGTAGAAACATCTTGGTCATGAACCTCTTTATTTACTGTAATTAAACCAACAACGTATTCCTGTTAATGTTCTTACACATCTGTACGCACCGGTGTTGCTCCCGGGCGTGGTCACGCTGCGGTTGCTCTTGCAGGAGTGTGGAGGTGAGGCCGGCCGTGGCTGCAGACCGGCCGGCCGTCTCCGATATGGTGAAGGACCTGAGACTCAGCGAGTCCCTGCTGCGGGACCTGGACCGCTTCTATGAGACCCGCAGAGACCCGGTGAGTCAACACGCTAAAGGTTTCATCTTCAGACACTCGACGCTCTGTTTGTGTTTCATTTTATATATTAATCGTGTATCGCACATTAAGAAACATTCACTCTGTCTTTATTATTTCCTTACCAATGCTTACCTATACATACTTGTATTTTGATTCACATATTCTCCTATAAATAGGAGATGCAACAGTATTCTAACGTATCAGGTGTCTCTTAATGTGATTTTAAGCTGTGTTAGTGCATTCTTAAAACAATGATAATGATGTTATTTAAGCTGTAATTTGCTAAATGCAGGAAATATCATTCATGTCCCTCTGACCTATATCTGTGTATTTACTTATTTCTAAATGTTTTTTACTGGTTCGCCCATCTTCAGTCTGTCACTCACAGTTAAAACTCTCGAGCTCATTGTTAATCAGTATTAAACCAGCTGGCCTGTGAAACGTCCATGAACAGTAAATAGAGAAGATATCAGGTTGAAATTGTAACTGGCTCCCCTTTAAGTGTTTTAAATGACATGATGATTGTTTTGGACGGTCGAGTGTGACTCGAGCCGGCAGTGATTGTCTTGGAATAACCAGGAATATCGCGGCGCGTTTGCCAGCGAACAGATTGGTGAGAATTCAGCTGAACTGATTTTCCTCTCTGACTGACACCCCAGCTGTCACCGCCGCAGCTCCAAAAAGCTGATAATTACTTCTGCAGCCTCTCTCTTCATGTGTAGTCATGGCCCTGCACTGACACAACAAGGTGCATCTTCAGATGAGCACTGACACATATCGTGTTTCGTCCTCACGCAGGACGGCGCGGCGCTGCAGGCCTTCGTGGCCCAGCTGCAGAGTCAGGTTGTGGGGGTACTGATCCTCAGAGATGAACAGGTAGGTGCAGTGTACGGCTCATTGTCCCCAGATGAACCTCGGAGGGTTGGGTTGGAGTCTGTGGTGGTTTTTCGGTTGATCAGCTGTTGTTCTATCGAGCTGGTTTCCATCAGTGTTTGAGCTTTGCACGAATGTGTCTTTAGAGGAGACTTCCCCGAAGCTATAAGTTGAGCACAAGTGAATTTATTGAGTTAAGGATTAGTCAGTGGAAGTTAATATTAATATGTATCATTGATTTAATTGAACTTAGTATGCAGCGACACAAATATTAGAAAATAAAGCTAAAAGAATGTAGGAAAGTATCAAATACAAATATTCGTCCTGAAACTGGAGTAAAGTCGCTTCATTACTTCCTCTGTCTTTGTCAGGACATCAAGTACATCTGCGCCCACTACAACATCGAGAACTTCATCTATTTCAGCCATCACCGCCTCGAGGAGCACGCTCAGATACGCCACTTTGTCCTCAAACGCTCCTTCCAGCACTTCAGCAAACACTTGTTTAAGGAGGCGCTCCGGCTGGCTCGCAGGTCCTGCCTGTTCCTCAGGATCTACCCCTCGTACCACAGCCAGGAGGTGGGTTTCACACACCGGGACCCTCAGGAGCCTTCCAGCCCCCGTGCATGTCTGCTCACATACACATCGTCATTAGCGTAATGACCCTCAGTGCAACAACACTGCAAGAAATATCACCACGAGGCAGTCCATCTCAAATCCACTGATGAGTTGATTTCACAGACATGAATATCAAATGATGCTCAAATACCACTTGATTTGATATTTACTTTAATGCGTCTTATGAAAACAAAGACATGTGGACATGCTAATGTTCAAGTCTTCTTCTGATAATCTATGCTTGAAGAGAATCTGTATGTCGCTCCGAGTAGTAGCTGGATGTAACAGTTTCCAGCTAAAGTAACCGCACCTTGTTTTTGTAACGGTGAACACATGAATTGGTGAGATGGTTTAGTCTGTTGTTCACCACAACTTGATGTCAAGACTCAAGTTCTTTCTTTTTCTTTTCATGTGATAAACCAGAACAGCATCTCATATCATGTAAACTGTCTTCTGTTCAGTCTGATGACCACAGTAACAGATGGATTTATTAATGTAGACGTGTTGTTAGAGGGGTCATTTCTTGCAGAGTGCGGCCCCTCGGCAGGCTGCCGTCCCCGGGGTGGGTCGGGGCAGCAGGTGCCGACGGTGCTGCCAGCTCCACCTCTCCACTCTCATAATAAGACATTTGCTCGACATGTAGAGAGGCCTCCACTTCCTCTGCTAATTACCTTCCCACAAACAAGCCTCAGATCTGGAGATGATGATGATGATGATGATGATGATGATGATGATGATGATGATGTGCAAATAGAATAATGGCAGAAGATAACCAGAGAATTGGCTCCGTTCAGCACTGGGAGAGTTTTCCAGTCAGCTCGTGTCAGTGGTGTAAAGCTTGCATCATCTAGCCTCTTCACCTGAGCTCATTATCACTTTGTCACCTTCCAGTTCTCCCCCCGCCAGAGTCCCCCCCACTGATGCTGTTTACCCTCTGAGAGGGAGTCTCTCGCTGACACTGTGCCCCCCTTTCTGCCCTGCACTCAGAATTCCTGCGTCCACCATCTGGATTCTGTCCTCGGCTGTGCGGTCCCCGTCCGCCCGCGACGCCAGATCATCTACCCGCTGGAGGAGCTTGGCATCAACGGCCCATCCAGGCAGATCACCGAGGACCAGGTGGGCACGGGCAGCAGCTGGCTGACAGGGAATGTAGATTAGCTGAAGGCTGCAGACAGGGAGTAATGTGACCACTAGACGGTGCTGTTTCTACACGATGATTCACGCTTATGTACAGAAGGGTGTAAAACACAGTATGATGGAATGAACATACTTTACTTTTTAACATTGCATTTTGTCAAAGTGTATCCACAAACAAAAACTTTGGTCTAAACTGCTTTTTCCACATATTAACAGAGACATAATTCATCCAATGTCTGTGTTCAACAGCAAACAATGCAAAACTAACTAATACTCTTAAGTGTGGAAAGAGTTTGCTCATTTGATTTAACATGCATCTATATTTCCTTACATTTGGCTAAACATGTTTTGTTCAGAAATGTGCTTTTACACACAGAGAGTTCAACTTCATATGTATTTAATATCTGTGAAGACTTTTGGATCTCAACTACAATTTAAAGTAACGCAAAGTATAAGTAGAAAAGAGTAAACCTTCTGAATAACACTTGGAGTGCTTACTTACAGGTGATTAATAAGATAGAATAGAAGAGTTGAAGTGGTAGTGGAGGTGTAGCACTAACAGCAGATGAGGTGTAAACATCAGAAGCTGGTAGAAGATGAACAGTGATAACCGCAGCTCTTCTTCTCCTCCCGTGTTCTGCTCTTAAATCTTAGTGTGGCCGTGATTTATTTCAATGTCCTGTACTTCAAATATTTACCACTTGTCCAGCAGCGCTCTCTGTAGACCCGAGGCGTCACCGTGTACACTCACATGTTCATTCCACTCCATCAAACCCCCCC